GTTAATATTCACTTTTAATTGCACACCCATTGGGTTCGAATGTTCGGTATTATTATTCTTTCGAAATGCTGTTAATGTACGCGTTCTGTGATAAGTGAATAGAAAATCGTAGATGACAGCAAATTGCGATAAGCCTTCGACGCGCGTGCAATTGGTCTACGCGCGCGATGTGTCAACGTAAAGTTTTGAACGTTCGCGGTGGATTGTTGCTCAGCGCACGTAACTATCTCCATGTCAGCTAAATAAGACAGGTTTCAATATAAATGGTGTAACCATTAGGAAGTTAGCAACAATAAGTTATTCGAGTTGTCAAAACATATTTCCGCATCACATCAGTCATGATACACATCACTTACCTCTATTTTAAGATGGTCTTATATCTATGAGGGCTTTCATTTTCTTAAAAAAATAACTGAACGCTTTATCCATTTAATTGTCGGTACGAAAGAAAATGCTTTCATTTTTTTTTTTATTATTATCAATCATTTGATGATTATTCTTTTATTTTAAAAACAAACTTTCTACTCCTACCTCAAAATATCTTGATATACCTTAAAAGAATTTAGCGCACAGACTAAAATAAATAAAAATATTTATTTTATAACGGTATATATTATTTTTACGCTTTATTATTGCCGCTGGGTATTATCCAAGTCATGGCAATATTCTATACAGCTATATACTTATGTAAAAACAAAAGTTAGCATATTGTATTATACATAACAGTATAAACAAAAGGAGATATAAAATCGATATTTACAATAAAAATAAAGATACGCATTTATGATTGTCGGCGCGGCAAGTGCCCAACAATAATAGAGGGCTGGCTTGTTCGCCTTAATAATTATTGAAGGACTGGTATTAAAAATAAGTATAATTAAAACAAATAAATAAAGATTGGTGTGAATAAGTGGACTGTGTAATGTAAATAATGAAAAAGGGTAATATAAATATAACTAATGACAATTAATAATTTTCTGATAATAATGTATAAATGCAAATTAAACAAATAGTAACTAACTGAACTAAATAAATGAAATGTGTGGACCACACGGCACACACCAAATAAATAATATAAATAAATACAATAAATAATTCAATAATTGGCCCAACACGGCGCGCAAATAATAAGAAATAAATAATAATTTGCCTATGACGGCACACCACAGTGTATGAATAAATATATAATACAATGATATCAATAATGTGGTAGATGTCTATGTCGGCCAATGCAAAATAATACAATAATGTGGTAAATGCCTATGTCGGCCAATGCAAAATAATACAATAATGTGGTAAATGCCTATGTCGGCCAATGCTCACTTGTGACTATGTTGAAATGGCTGATTCCATCCACGTGACCGCACCAACCCTGTGATTAAACAATTGCCTATGACGGCACACCGCAGTGTATCAATAAAAAATAATTCACAGAATTGGTACGTGCGACCACTCAAGCACAGTCACCAACGAAGATAAAAGCCGTTCTGCAGCCCGAACGATGACACAAATGACAAAACCACGTTATTCACAAGGCGACCGCTGGTATACTACAAACAATGAAAAATTATAACGCTGGACAATATCTGATTGCCTCGAACGATACTTTACCAGACGGTCGAATCACAAAACAAAAAGGAGTGACGAAAACGTGGTTTCATTAGACAATTGACTGCAGACACGGGAACACGGATACAATAAAGTTGATGTGCACAACACGACGACCAAAAAACGAGAGAGATGGGTCCGACGACATTCACCACGAAGGCTAAGGCCGCCGGACACCACAACGAAGATAAATGTCTCAGTGCCACCACACTAAACCAAAAATACACGAGAACTTACGAAACTTTGGCACTGAGAACATGACTTTTACTTTTACAAAAAACATAACCGACAATATGAAGAAAACGTGGAATAACGGGCATTTACGCGCGACGATAACAGCGCGATTACGTGCCCGGCCGGTCGCACACGGAGGCTTATCACCACCGCCGACGATGGCTGCGGACGCGCAACGCACCGCTACACATCGCACGAAAATGATAACACAATACAGACGAATTACAACACGTTACAATTTATTTTGTGGCTTATGGCGCGAACAATGATGTTGTGCTATCTAATTGAAATTTTATAATAACCTTAGTATGCTGCCAATTTTTTTTTTTTTGTACTGACATTAATTTGTATTATGACATTGAAGAAACTGTAGCGTACTATCTTTAATAATCTGGCGTGCGTGCAACGTTAATAATTAATTGTGTGATTGATTTCGTTTTCCATAAGATTGGTATAAAATGACAAATTTTAACGAAAACCGTATAATATGGGATTATTTTATATTAATTTTTTAATTGTTTTTATTGATTCAACACTTGTAACCCGACTAAAAACAAAATAAGCTGTTTATTTAAAAGTACTAATGTTAGTATGCCGAGATGAGAAAGAAAACAAGGCAAACGGACGACAACAAATTAAAAGTACAAGTGCTAATGTACTATCTATTTACTTTAAGACAATTAAAATCCTCATGTTAATATTATGCTAATATTTACTCCATTGTTTAATGATGAGTTATAACAATTTCAAATTAAGCCTGTAATAGTAGTATTAAAATAACTATCTTAAAGGTTGATTTTTGAAAATTATTTGCATAAATAATGAAAATTAATAAAATAACTTATTTTCAGAGTATAATAATATTATAACAATTATCATGTAAGCGATTCATTAACGTAGAGGACTAAGTACATATCTAATAATGTATGAGTCCTTCAATTGAAAAAAAAAAATTAATTAAACTTTATAATTTTTTTTTACTTTATAGTTTTTAATAATTTTAAATGATTTAGAACTGAGCTTACTACATTACTAAGTTAAAAATGTTTAAGGGGATAAGTGATGTATAAATAATTTAAAGAACAAATTAACAGTATTATTTTTCAAGCACGGTCTTATAAATAATTGTAAATAGTTAGTATTTATCTCTTGTTAAATGCCATTAAACCGTATCAAAGTTAACATAAAATAACAAAATTAAAAAACATCTAAACTATCTGTTATATTTTAAAAATGTAATATAAGACCAAAGTGCTGATGAATGAACCAACTGGTAAGCGCCCCAGGGGAAGACCTCGACAATGATGGCAAGATCGAGTAAATGTAGGTATAAGAATGATAGATGGAACATTGAAACTGCTATTAGCCGTGAGAGAATGGAGGGGTTTGATCAGTGGCGCACACAGGAAGGGTCAGGAGTGTCTACTGACACCCCTCAGAGAATTGGTTGGATAGCTAGTTCTGTGTGAACTTGTATGAATATTTGTTTAATTTAATACTAACCAATTTTTCAGCTATCCAAATCAACATACTAAATATGTCTACCCTAGCACTAAGGCGTCACAAGAAGAGTGAGAATAAGTAGTTGGGCTTAATCCCAAAAATTATGTTATACAAACTTATAAATTAATATCCAGAGAATTGAAAAATAATTAATATTAGGTTTATTTTTAGTATCTTTGTTAGTAAGAAAAAACCAAAAACACTTCAAAATAAGAGTTATACTATGCCTAAACTCAGATTTTACTGTTGGGGGTGGGCGGGTACTTCGAAATATATATTTTCAACACCCTTGTCAAAAATCTTCTGTGTACCACTGGGTTTGATAGAAGATTCGGAAAGACTTAATGGCCAATAAAACAAAAGAACATAAAAATAGTATATGACTAACTATTAATATAGGAAACTAGATTTTAAATTATTATGATAATATTTATCTATATGTAATGTTTAACCATGACAATATTTTTTTGAAAAACACCTATTTATCAACAATAAACTTTTTTACATTTAAATTTTCTCATAAAACACTGATTATTAAAAGGTAGTTTCTAGTTTTTATAGTGCAATTTTATAGTCAAACGGGAAAAAAAACAGTATTATAGTTTAATATTTTCAGCTCAATGGACATTTTGAAATAAGTCGTTTCATCATTGTATCTTACAAAGTATTAACATTTTGATTTACAGTAAAACGTACTCTTTCACACTTGACATTTTTAAATTAGATTAATAAATTAAAATTGAATTTTTAAGGTTACCTCTTTTATAAAGTTAATAAAAAACACCATCTAAAAACATTGTTTTACATTTCCCATAGAACTATATGAAATTAAGTATAAAGTTGAGTGTTTGATTGTTTAACTTTAAAAGTTTTAAAAGACATAGTTTTATTCACACCAATATATGGAATGGAAATCGAATAAATCAAATGTATTTAATTTTTTCATGGTCAAATACAAGATAATGATAGTTCTGTTACTAAAGTCGATTAAAAGTACAAAAAATTACTGTAGTTAGCGAAAACGTTGGGTATTTTAATATAATTAAGATGCGATAATGTTGTAGTACAACAACAGTAACTCGATACGACCAACCAATTAGGTTGAAATTATTTTTTCGCTCTTTACTGTATTGTCGCTCTTTCTTTTTAAGACTGCATTGTTTTTTCGTTTAACTTCTTTTAAGTTTTCGTTTCGTCAGTAGCGGACATACCGTGTACACTACGTGGCTGCTAATAACGTCTGGATAACGCGCTGAGACAAGACAATGTAATTAAGAGTTTGACGTTGCTCGCTCTCGCTTCCGTTTTGACAAGGGTCTGAGATATGTATATATACAACGTACTGCTTGTAAAATAATAAACGGACGCGACCAGTCATCAGGGATGAGTGCACAATGGCCAAACAACGCGAACGCTTAAATCACATTTTCGAAAGGTGATGATAACAATATTATGCGATAGACGAATCGGAAGTGCAGTAAAAAAACAAATTTTTGAGCGGTTTTAATTACATTTCATTTTTTTCAAAGTACAAAATGGTATTTTAAACGCACATGGCAAAAATCAAAGCATAATAAATCTGAAGTGCACGCGCATCATCAAAGACCAAGACGTATAAAATATTTACGCGAGCAGTAATTTTAACGTCTGCGGCGTTATCGACTATTTCGTTTTGCCCTGAGCAGCAATAGCATCCATAGCTTTTTTCACTGTCTCTTCGTCACCCAAGAACTTCATCGAAACTAGCGGTTTGAAGTTTTCGTCAAGCGTGTACTCGAACGGTATGCCCGTCGGTAAGTTCAGGTTCATAATCGTCTCGTCCGTAATATCTGTGTACACACCACAAACGACGAAGATATTATTATTTATAATTATGACAAGGCCGTATCTGGGGGGTCCAGGGTGTCTGGACCTCCTCCCTCCCGAAATTTCTTCAATATTTAACAAATGTTTAAAATAATTATTCATTTTTAATACCAACATAAATATTTTCAGTCAAAAATGAATTAAGCCCCAATTAATCATTGACTACTTTTAATTTTATATCATAATATCATATGAAAATATGATTTTAATTTTAATAAAAGAAGATTAAATCTTTTTCTGTCTTATTTTTAACCAAATATCAAAAGTTAAAATCTAAATTCAATAAAATTATAATATACATGTCTTGGACCCCTCCCAAAAAAAATTTGTAGATACGGCCTTGTATTATGAAGTCACTAATAGCGTTGTACTCCCATCTACTGAGCACAATAAATTATGATGATTCAAACGTGGTTTTATTGGTAGCTCATGTACACGTATCGAACTCTATATCAGAACGATATGTCACGTATCAACTGGTCGGAGGGTTAAAGAATTTATTTAAGTGATGAAGTCGTATTTGACGCAAAATAATAGTATTATAATTGAAGTGCCGTTGTATATATTTCTATCTCCATATAAAAGTAATCAAATTTAAAAAATACACGGTTACGCGTCAGGTACCTCCGATGGGATCAACAATATTGTATGATTTTCACTCTTGTGTATATCTTGCATGTTTATATATATACATATATATGTATTTCATCGAAGTTTGAGAAAAAAATTCAAAATTGACAAGGGGATGATTAATGTGGGACTCTTTGTTTCGAGACTTTGTTTCGAAAGATATCGTGTATATATTAAATATATATATATATATATATATATTAATAGTATAGATGTATGGGATATAGACTAGACGCACGTAGATTCATCTAAGCTTATGAGAACAAATGCGGTACTATGGTTTTTATTTTATTTTTTCACTTTTAGTATATATGTAGTAACGTGCCTACGTTTTTAGTTGTTATTAGATTTTTTACTTATCCATTAACGAATATAGTATCTAATATAGTCCCACTTGTTTAGATCTTTCGCTTACAGTTGCAGTTATTGCCTGCGACTAGTGTTGAGACTAATCTAGATAAATTTATCTAAATAATAATTTAATTATTTTTTATCTTATCTAGATAAATAATTTCATTTTATCTAAAAAATGATTTAAGATAATAAATTCAACCATAAATTTATCTTTATCTAGATAAATTCGTTTTAGTTAAGTCGACTTAGTAAATAATTGTATATTCATAATTATATTGTATCTTAGGTATTATTTATTATTAATCTTTTCGTTATAGGCCCGGAATTAGGTGCTCAAAAATAGAGTATCCCAACATTCATTGTTATGTTATGTTGGTGACTCGTCGATCGTCATTATGCCCTATCCTAGCAAATATTTAAATAACACCTTTGTTTTAAAGGAGGTATTAAAATAAATTATCTTTTTTTTATCTAGATGAAAAAGTATTTATCTTTTATCTTCATCTAGATAATTTTTTGTCGTACTGTCTTTATTTTTATCTAGATAAAAAAAGTACTTATCTAAACCCAATACTGTCCGCGACAATGGTGTACCATTAAGATAAAAATATTCCGTACGCACTGCGTTGCGGCAAATCTGTATACACTCACTGTCCAAATATTTCACTATGCCCCTGAGGCTGTTGCCGTGGGCGACTATTACGACACGTTTCCCTAGTCTCATCTGAGGTACGATGACGTGGTCCCAGTACGGCAGAGTTCTTTCGATGGTCAACTTCAACGACTCGAACATCGGGAAATTGCGGCCCACGCACGGTCCGTCCGCGTATCGAGAGTCGTTCACGATCCGATCGTAGTAAGGGTGATCAGCGTGCATGGAGGGCGGGGGTGTGTCGAAACTGCGCCTCCACACCTTGACCTGGCAAGCAACAATCACCGTATTATTTATGAGATTAAGATACGGCCGCTCTTGCAATTCACTTTCTGCACGGTTATTGTATTGTTTTATCATAGTCGAAACGAAATCAACAGCGAATCGTCGTTGCAAAAATAAATAATGTAATATATCATCGCGGTGACGACGGGAGCCGCAGTGGTTGAAAAACATGAAAACATATTGCTGGGAAAGCGCCCGAGAACATGAGCAGAAAGATTTCGGAAATGGGATGTAAAAACGAAAAAAATCAATAACGTAATGACAAAATGTGTACATTTTTCCAGAGCGACTTAAACCCTCGTTTTTATGCGATCGCGTTTTCACACGCATTCCCGACGGTTTTTCGCTCGTAACGAATGTTTGAAAACACGGTGAGAGTATTAGGTGTTAACGTTAGACATGGAAAACTGGGGGAAAAATATTTTTCTTAACATAATAACCTAGGAAAGTTATGTGGAAGTCTATGCGGTCTACGCGCGCAACATTATTATTCTACCTGTTCTTCGCCGTACTTGGCCGCCGTCTCGGACTTGTTGAGACCCGTGAGACTTCCGTAATGCCGTTCATTTAAACGCCAAGACGTGTGCACCGGAACATCGGTCTGTTCGAGTTCGTTTAGAATTATGCACAAAGTATCTTGGGCCCTCTTCAAAACGGAAGTGTAAGCCACGTCAAATTCGTAATTGCCTCGTTTCAGCGTCTTACCCGCGGTAGCGGCCTCTTCCGCGCCTGTTGAAACGTAATAGATAAACAGAACTGTTCGAAATAACACTTCGCCCGACCGCCAGTAAATAAAATGGCTAAAAAGTCAATGACCAATTCACAACGGCACATTATTATTGTTGTCAATATTTTCCTTTCGTTTTTGTCATGTAAAGCCTGTTTCTGAGAAGCGACGATCGATTTTTTTCGATGCGAAATAGGATATCGGCTCATTATTTTATTGAACTTAAAGACCAGACCATTCAAAACGATTTTTACAAAATCAATTAATCGTTTAGAAATGGAAAAAATCACGTTATTTGGAATTGATTGTTGATTATCAATTAGATTTAGCTAAATATTTATTGCTCAGATTAAACAATTAGAGTTTATTAAACTGTAAGTCAGTAATTACACAATTTAAAAAGAAATCTAAATCTGATAATTAAGTAATAACATAATTTTATAAATTATAATAATAAACAATTATAAAAAATTATTTTGAATTGTAAATATTAGTCGTTCTACAATTAGACAACTCATACTACCCTTTGGACTCAGTTCAGAGTCGAACCAACCACAGAACAGATTTTTTCTATTCCAATCACTTTCACCATGTCTGACCATTACGATTTTGTAATTGGTTGCTGATTTCTATAAAACAATATTATAAAAATATTAACAAAAATTTAGTAGTTCATTTTGAGATTATGAGCAACGCGTTTTTCATAAAATATAACAATAATAATAATATCAAAATAGTGAAAAAGTTATTGTTATTGAATTAATCGATTGCAATTAATTTGTAGGTAGAATAATTTTTTTCTATAAAAAATCATTTGTAATATGATTATGTACTCTGTTCCAACAACAATTCTAAATGTTTTCTCTACTCGTTTTTTTAGTTAACTTTTATCGGTCGCAACTTGGTTATTAAGTGATGAATTCAATATAATTAAATTTCAAAATAATTAAGAATAAGTAGGTAATTATGAAGTTTATAAGAGATTTCATAAAAAGCAATAAGAATTATTTTTTAATCATTGTAATTGATTAATCACATAATGATGGCCATAGTCATAAGCCGTGGCTAATCTCCAAATGTATTTTTTTATTAGTTTGTTATTTAATGATAAAAACTTACAGTTAAAGTATAGTGACGTATTTGAGAAATATGTTTAATCGTGCTTAATTTGCTTGGGATTTCCATTGTTTTAAAGAAAAATCTTGTAATATAACTAAACATTGTGAATTATAATATTAGATATTTTATTGATGTAATTTTTCTTAAATCATAAACTTCACAAACAAAATATTTATAAATTTGTAATTATTATAATCACTGTTATCAAACATCAATAAGAACTATGTATAGCCAATATAATAATTTACTTGGGTGATGAATTAGAGGTATAGTACTAAATTACATTTTTATTTCATAGTTTAGTAATTTTCAAAAATATATTTCTTTAGACATACATTATATATATGTATTTATAAATTAATTGTTTGCAATTTATTTTTGTGTTTACACCAGTTATTGAGCTTTAAATATTTAATTAAATAATCATTTTTTACTTGCATAAATTTTATAATATAAAAGTGTAGACTTACTTATTATATATCATAGTGTAAAAATGTATGGATGAGTGTATACTGAATATATATTGATAGTTTTTGCAGTAATTTATCTTTATGATGCTATAATTCAAATTAAAAAAATGCTAATAACAATTATAATTTGTAGGTAAGACATAAATATAAACAATATTATACAATGTAAAAATTGTTTAGCTAATATCTGTGAATTTTAAAAAATTGATGCTGTTATTACATTATGTATTGAAATAGTTATAATTGTTTTATTTTTTAATTTTTCCTTTAAAATTTCTTTGTTTTAGAAATTCCTTTTCTTTAGAATGTCCTGGTAAGTTCTCTTGATCTTTTCAACAAACGGCTTCTTTTTTCATGTATTTTTTCCATTAATAATATTAATATATAATAATATGTTTCTAATTAGATTAATTTTTAATGTCATCATATTAGAAGAGTTTCTTTTATAATGGATTATTTTTCATCTTTGTAAAGTTTAAATAATTGTGGAAACCAATATTATTAAACATGTCTCTAATTATAAGAACAATAACAATAACAAACAACGTATTGGTACTAAAATACACAATTATTATTACAAAAGTATTTTCATTCATGCTGTTTACGAGTAATGTTTGGAGATTATTTAACCATTAAGAATAATATGTGAAACATAAATGTTCTATTCCAGGAAAGGATTTATATTTTTATATTTTATTGTAGAAAAGAGAAATATTTATTATTTATTCTGGCCTAAAATTCAAATTTTCTTTTAATTTTCCATGTTTTGAAATAAATCGATAAGCCCAATCTTACCATTATTTAAGTTAACTGTTTAAATATTTATGTTAATGTACATTCGGGAATAACAATTTTATTTCATCGTGAATGATTTAAAAATTTACCGCCTGAAAAGCTAATTATTATTTAGTAGTTTATGAGATAGGTTAGATACATTTTTAATTGATTCATTTTTTATTATGTAGTGTATACGGATAAATAATAGATAATTGAAATGAATAATAGTATACAATTTATTAGGCCCCCCTCAAAAAAAAAAAAAAAAATAAAAAAAAATATTAATTTGTTATGTGTTGTGCTTCAAAAGTAATTTAATTTTTGTTTTAATTTTGTGTAATAATTTTAGTAACTAAATATTTTCAGTTTTAACTAATTCTTTTAATTTTTTGTTTTTAAAAATAAGAGAATACCTAATAATATTAATAATTCTAAATTTTAACAAGTCAGTTGAAAGTGCCAAATAATATAAAAAAATCGATATGTATAAAAATATTAGAAAAATAAGACGAACAATTGTTAAACGGAGAGTTGGCGTTTATTCACTCCAGTATAGAATAGAAAGGCAGTTATACTATTATTTATTTAAAATAAGTCAGAATATTTATTGCATTCGAACAAAAAAAAAAACACCTTGTGTTAAGCTTATAGAAATTCTAAAATGACCCCGGTATTGTTAAAATAATGCTTATGCATTTTCCCACCAAATGTTAGTGTATTTTTTAGATTTTCACCAAAAGTAATATGATGTATAATGTTAAATATATTTATTACGCATATGAAAATTTAAGAGATTCAATTTTTATTTTTTAATTAATTTTTGATGAAAAAGAAAGAAATTCAATGAAAAATAAAAACCGGTGATGCGAATTTATCTTTAGTGCGAGGTGCGTTGTGCTCATATCATAATTTACACTCCTTTTAGCCTTTACTGTAAGTTCTAGGACACAGATCAATTAGGAATTGATGTCTGAAAGTTAATATATAATATGTTTCAAAACTTGATAATTTCTACAAAATAAATATATAATTCGTGAACATTATGATATTCAATAAAATGATAATAATTCTAAATAATCATAGTGAATTTATAATTAAAACGTAAAATACTAATTGATAAAAATTAATTGCTGGCAGAATACAACAAATAGTAAATTAATAATTGAATGTCATACAATTATAATGAAATTGGAATATTACTTTAATTAATGTTTTTTTAACAATGTCTCCTTGTGGATCATACGTTTTAGTCTTTGGTCATGAATTTGAAATAACTGCCAGAAAAAAAATTCATCCTTTTGTGGTATTATTAGCTTTTGATTTAATCTCAGCTTAGAATTTTAATTTTTGTCTTCTTAGGTACCTAATATGTTTATTTATTTTAAAACTTTTTTATTTATTATACACTACTACAGTACATTTTCTTATAATTGAACATTCTAACATTTTTGAACATTTAAATCTTAAAATTTTAAATAATAATAAATTATTTAACTTAAGAAAACTTCTTGTCAGTGAAATAGTTTTTAAAAACTAATTTATGAATTTGATAGTCAAAAAAATACAAATAATGGCAATATCTTGAACATTATAACATTAAAAGTAACTTTTTAATGTAAAATATTTTGACTTGGTTATTTTATTTTGTGTATTTATATTTTATAATTGGTTTGTATTTTGTTTTTATGATTTTGAGAAAAACATTTTTGTTGAAATGCTAAATGCATAATGTTATTCCATTTATTACTTTAATACAATTAATTATATCTATTTTATATTATCAAATTTTTGATTCAAATGGAAGTGAAAAATGTATTTATTTTATCATAATATTTGTTGAACGATCAATATATATTTAGTATCATAAAGCTACCTCAAAATATATACAGATAATATTTTTAAATCAAAAAATGGACTCGAAAAGAGTTATAGTATTTAGACTTTGATTGATTGTCTTGAACCGTTACGGGGAATCACAATTCACAACGTTTCTATTACTCGTATATTGGTATATTGAATATGGTAAATACCCAAGTATAAGCTATATTTTTAGAAAAACTAAAATATTTAGTGAATCGTTTTTTTGAGAATTTAATGAAATGTTTGATTTGTTATCTGTATATATAATACAGTAAGCTGATTGACTGCTATCAACGCACAGCTCAAACCATTGGACGCATCTGGCTGAAATTTGGCATACAGATAGCTATTATGATGTAGACGTGCGTTAAGAAAGGATTTTTCGAAATTTTGAATTTAAAGGGTTGAAATCGGTTTAATATTTTTTGACCCGGTCGATAACTGCGCTATTGAAAATGAATTATATTAAATAAAACTATTAAAAAATTATTAAAAAACTATTAAAAACTATTTAAAAACTATTAATTTTATTTTTGGTAGTAAATGACGGAAATTGCATAAATATTAAACAAAAAGATTCCGCAACAGGTGCTAAAACAAATAAGAATGTTAGTTCAAAAAATTATTATGCATATCGGTTGATGATTAGACGCGATCAGGACTAAGTTATTTTACGATGCATAAGCTTTGTCAACAATTCATGGTCGAAATATATATAAAGATGGACAGCGAACGATTTCGATACTTCAATTTCGATTCAATCAAAAAAAGCTGCGTGCAAAAGATTCTCAAAACAATTGTTAGATATTGGAGATGGGAAAGTTACTACAGATTAAACGGGATGTATAAAATTACCGAACGATTTCTGCACAATCATTTATTCGCAAGATGCTCTCATTGACCAGATATATCCCAGTGTACACAGACAATACACAAATCATGAGTGGCTGGCAGAAAGAGCAATTTTAGTAGCAAAAAATGTGGAGGTCAACGAATTGAATCTCAAGATACAAAATTTGTTACCAGAAAACTTGGTCTCATACAAATCTGGATACAGTTTGCGATGCTACTGAAGTTGTAAATTATCTAACAGAGTTTTTAAACTCATTGGATTTACTAGGCATGCCACCGCATAATTTACAATTGATCATTACAATTTACCATCGATAAAATACCTCCTTCAAAGTCATTTAAAGTTGTAATACATGCAGATAAAAAACCACCAGAAGAACATAGAGGCAGGTATAATGCACCAACGGCAAATGAAGTTGCTTTAGTGTTAGTAGATCAGAAGTTTGATCGAAGAGACATCATCCTCGAAAACCGAAGTAACTTACTTCACCGTATTAGTTAGATACATCGAGCATACGACGCACTGCAGTATCCTTTAATGTTTTGTTGGGGGGATGATGGGTATGCAATCAATATACTACAACGCGATCCAAAAACCAAGTTACCGCTTAAAAAAACTGTCTCTGCATCAAGTTTTTACTCATATTGAATAATGGTCAGAGAAGGGGAAGACAACTATTTAGTTAATTATCGTTCTCTTTTCAGTCAATATTTGGTAGATGAATACGCCAAAATTGAAACTGAAAGGCTAAATTACATCAAAAACAACCAAGCCAAATTGCGTGCAGATAGTTATATTCATTTAAAGATGCGATTGGACGACGAGACATAGAAGCTAATCAGTTAGGCCAAATGGTTATACTCCCGTCAACTTTTACTGGTGGACCAAGGTACATGCACGAAAGAACACAAGATGCTATGACCTACGTTAGACATTACGGTCGTCCTGACCTTTTTATTACTTTTACATGTAATCCTCGCTGGGACGAGATAAAAGAGCTCTTACTTCCCGGTCAAAGATCATATGATCGACATGATATAATTGCAAGAGTGTTTCGGTTAAAAGTCAAAAAGACCATGAACTTATTGACAAAAGATAAAATATTCGGAGAAGTGAGATGCTATATGTATTCAACAGAATACCAAACTGTAGAGAGGTTCAGGTAGTTGTAAGCTATAACTTATCGAATAGGTTATGATAATAACTAAATTAATATGTATAAAATATTATTTCAAAAATCTTAATTAATTTAAATTTCAATAGATTTAACAAAATTTAATCTTGGCAGGTTACATACATTTATATACTTATTTGTGATTGGTGCGTACAAATTTCGCTTCCACAAGTACTTAAAAAAAAATAATCTAGAACGGTGGTGTTGTTGTAAAAAAACCTGTACAGCTTATATTCATTTGAACTCCGATAATGAAGTAGTCAAAAAAGTTATTGATCATAGTTATGGTGAAGAAAACGAAATATTGAACCGTCAAATCGTGAGTAATCAATTAAAACGAAAAGCTATCGACGATATTTGCGAAAAACCAAGTAAAATCATTAGTCGCGAATTACTTACACATGATGTAGATACTTTAACTACATATGATTTACAATTGATCAGAAAAAATATGCATTATGCACGATCGTCTATTTTGCCCAAATTACCAAAAAATTTGGAGGAACTTCAAACTTCATTAGACAATATGAGCGATTTCTTATTAACCAATCGTAGTGAAAACTTTTTGTTGGTAAATGATAAGGAATCGAATATCTTATTATTTTCTTGTAAAAGTAACTTAATGTTTTTAAGCAATGTTGATACAATTTTTGTTGACGGAACTTTCAATAGTTGCCCAAGCCTTTTTACTCAAATCTTCACAGTTCATGGCTTACAAAATGATAAATATATACCACTATTATTTTTTCTACTTCCTGATAAGGAATTAAAAACCTACGAAAAGGCATTTTTCCACATTTTGTCTGAATGTAATAAAATCAATATTATATTTTCTCCAAAAAAAGTTTGCAGATTTTGAAAAAGCAATACATTTGGCTATTTTATCAGTTTGGCCTTCAATAACTCTGAAGGGATGCCGATTTCATTTGGGCCAAAGCTGGTATAGGAAAATACAATCAATTGGCTTAAGTTCTGAGTATAAAATTGACAGCGATTCAAGTAAATACTTGAAATATTTTTTTGGATTACCGTTTCTTCATCCCGACGAAGTGATCAACTGTTTCACAGACGATTTAATATCTATTAAACCGTTAGATGAAAAAATTGATATATTTACTGATTATATATTAGAAACATATATACTACCAGAATCTAGTTTCCCGCCTTCATTATGGGCAGAATACTCGGCTACTACTATGAGAACTACAAATAGTTGTGAAGCTTTTCATTCTAAGCTCAACGCGATGTTTTATAATGCACATCCAAATATTTTTCAATTTATTGATACTATGAAGAGGTTACAAACAGATATTTATATAAAGCAACGTAGTATTCACTTAAACAATCGCACAACCTCGATAATTAAAAAAGAACAGTTTTTAAAACAAGCAATGGCAGATTTTGAATCAAAAAAAATTAGTAGGTTTAAATTCCTAAAAAAGTTATCTTTTAAATTTTTACCGGTACTATAACATTTTTATAAAATTAAAATTACAAAAAAAAAAAACAATACATTTTTCACCAATAACGATAATATTTTTTATACAGTTACAATTTTTTTGACAAAATACAAAAACAAAAATAATATATTAAGCAAAAATAATATTTTTAACCTACCTGTAGTAGTAAACTAGTAACTATTACTACAGACAGTCCTAAGTCTGTATAAAAATGGGAAGAGAAATATTGTTTAGTTTTTATAATATACGAGACTCAATTGGTACCTATAAAAGTTAAAAAAATTCGGGACGCAATTAGTATGACCACCAAAAAAACCCGGGACGCAATTAGTATGACCTCCAAAAGAACCCGGGACGCAATTCGGAATGAATTTTTGCCGCGGGACGCAATTCGTATGCAGCCTTATATTCAACCCATGATCTGATCATTTTAATAATTTAAAATTACTTTTCATAGTTTGTTTGTTTCATAATTTAAAATAATTTTGCAAGTTGTTGCAACTACCACGTTCTCCTGGTTGAATAATTTGCTTAACACTAAAATGTGGTCAATAATGTTTCTTCAGTCCGGGTGTTTAAGTTTTACCACATTATTGACAAATTTGTTGAAAAAAATTACAAAAAAATTGTCGACAAATAAGTTGTCCACAATGTTGCTTTAGTCTGTAATATAGACTCTGTACGCCGTACAATGACAATGTACAATGACCGGACCTGTTGACTAAGTCCGCAAAGGATAAAAAAATAATAGGAAAGTGAAAAGACAAATTTTGCTGGAGAACATGCGCACCATACGAATGGATTAAATATTCTCGTCTGATTTTTGTATCTTGAAAAATAAAACGATTGGCATTTTATGGTTTATATTTTAATTTTAACATTCACCAACTGGAATAAGTTTAGGAATAGGAATAGGATAATTTAGGAAAATGGCTATTTTAACAAACTGGTTATTATTTTTGTTTTATAAATATTTCGATGACCTTATACAACGTAACCAACAGTTTTGAAATCATCGTCTGAATTATGATCCATATATATATATCTTAAGATAATTAACAGTAGGACGTGCGAGTTTTGCGCTGAGAAATATTTGAACAATATATTATAATTTTTGAACGCGTTCGACCTTTACGCATTTCAATGTCAAACATTAAATTACTGACAGTACATTAATATTGGGTATTGTACGTATGATTTTTTTTTTTTTTACCGAATAACGCTCTGGAGAGCAAGGGTACGGTTGAGCGTGTTTTAATTTATAAATTTCCCTAGAATAGGTTAGGTTAGTTATAAAGAATACCTACGACCTGTATGCAAATAGCAATTGGTTTTCACTGCAGTATTTTAGTTAGCGCGTGGGAAACGTTAATTATTGTCATTATATTTATTGATGTGAACGAGCCGGCGCACGTCGCGTGACAGCAGGTTTAAACGTATAAGTAAACACTCAAACTCAGACTACCGGAAACGCGCGGTGAACGACGCGTCGAGACCACCGGTGTTGTACGGACGCAGTAGCCGAAGAACAACGCGTTGCCGGTCGCGATCGATGTGACAAGACCAAAGGGACCGAGGACGAATTGCCGTACCTTATTGCGTTCAAAACCGCATTGGTATCGAAAACGCAATTGCGCTCACGCCATCGAGATACGTTGTAGTTTCGAAGTGTTCGTCCGCGCGGTGCTGAACGACCGTTGCGATAAACGCGTGCTGCAATCGTTTCGACGCGTTTTCCCGCGAGCGGCAGTGACGTCACACCGCATCGCGTACGTTCGCATGACCGTTCGATTTGCTGGACGCGTCTGCGGTGTCGTCTAAAAATCGTTCGATCGAACGCACGTCGTTTTCGCGCGACTTCCGACCAGGCCCGCTGTGGAACGCACGATGGCCCGACCGCGTCCGCGGACCGCCGTGACCGCGTCGGTTGCGCTGTTGGCCGCGATCGCGTGCGCCGGCCACCAGTGGACAGCGGCCGAGGGCGCCCGGATACTGGCCGTGGAGACGGTGGCCGCCAGGAGCCATTGGAACTTCATGAGCGCGGTGCTGCGATCGTTGACCGCGGCCGGCCACCAGGTAACGGCGTTCACGCCGTTCCCGGATGAAGGCGGCGGCGGGGTGAACTACACGGCGGTGGACACGTCCGCTCAGTGCCAGATGCTGACGGCCACGGACCCGGCGCTAATGGTGGCCAGCTTCGGCGGCCCGGTCGCCCTGATGCGCACGTTGCCCGCGTTCTGCCAGAACCATTGCGACGTGGTCATGCGCCACCCGAGGTTCGACGCGATCATGCGCAACCAGAACGCCCCGGCCGCCGGCGTCGCGCCGTTCGACCTGGTCATCATGGAGCCGCTGGCCGTGGACTGCATGTCGCATGTGGCCCACACGCTCAGCTTACCCATCGTGTACGCCATCCCGTCACCCATGATCACGTACGCGGAACGCGAATTCACCGGGCACGTGTCGCACCCCGCGTGCGTTTCCAACCTGATCGCCGGCCACGCCGTGCCCCGCACGTTCGTCCAAAGGTTCACCAACAACATGCTGCTGGTGTACACCATGGTGGTACGCGAGTTCCGTAACCGGCTGCTCCGGTTCACCGATCCCAGGCCGTACGACGCGAGTCCTGTCGTCCGCCCATCCGTGATATTCCAGAACAGCTTCCACGGCACCGAAGCCCCGAGACCCGTTCTGCCCAACGTCGTGGACGTCGGAGGCATTCACTTGGAGCCGGCCAAAACGATACCGGCCGTAGGTATATTTCGTATTATTTCGTCTTCGGTTCGACGCCAGATCAGCGGATCACGACATTTTTTAAGCCCCTCAGGAACGAAACATCATTTTTTAACGCCCCAAGAAGAACGGGTACTCATGAAAAACGCGCCTATAGTTGAAAATTAAATAGAAAATAGAAGTACACGGTTGAAATTTTTAAACGATTAATGTTCAATTGAAATTGAAAATCATAAACTATAACGTTCAATGAAAACGGGTCAAATCTATGACTATACTGAAAATATCACTTGGACTGTTCTAGCTGATTGATATTTATTTTTTATCAACTCGTGTTTATTTCATAGATAAAAGGATAAGACTGTATTGTTTGAAAATTATATCAGATAAGTCATGGCATAAAGCTTAGCATAATATCTGTACTCCAGTTTTTATTTTTTTTTCAGTTGTAAGTTTTAATGTAAGCATAATATATATTACGTTCAACACCATCCTACCATTCAGAAATTGCTTTTGAATTATCGCCCAAAATAAGTTCACCCCCTCTTAGACCCTTTTTCAGCACCCAAAGGGTGAGGATCCACGCAGAAAATCATTGGTCTAGAAGTTGTTATACAGGTACATATATATTATATAACTTTGAACTAAGCATACTACATAGCAGAGATTAGCAACTGGCGGTCGGCGTACTTTTTTTTTTTATCTCGCCCGTACTTCATTTTCAAATTACATTATAATAATTTAACGTTTATCGGTATTTAATTTTATTACGGTGGTTGTAAAATGTAGATATTATATTCTTATCTAGTATTGAACTGCAGCTTAAATGTCTAAGAACTATATATATATATCAGCGTAACAAACAAAGCTATAAGTATTATGGGTTTATTGTATTAGTTCAGTCGTAAATTTAATTGCATAAATTTAAACACTGTCTATTTTAATAACTATTTTTTTTTTAAAGTTCTGTAAATTGGTTACCCTCTAGTCACTTTTACTTGCCCATCCTGCAATACGTATAATTATATAGTACTGGCTAACAGAATTTTCGAGCACACCGTAATTAACACATGTTATGAATTTATATTACCATCTTATCAATAAATTATCATAATCAACCGTGCTGTTTAACTAGTATATTATGATACTTGGTGTTTCGTAATTTAGCTGTGAAAACCGTGTGCTGTGTGGCCATACTTGGTTTTAACGAAAATTACTTGTTCCACGAATGGCCATAATAATACATTTAATTTAGTATTTTAATAAGTATTATAATTTATCTCTACGACCTAGTTGTTCAATATAAAATAACAAGCAAATTCTTTGAACAAATTCCAAATTTACCTTCGAATGACATAATATTAGTTTTGAAAATGCATCACACATAATAATTCATAAATATATTTTTATTTTTTTTTCCCACTGGGCAACTTCCCCCTTCTGTAAATCAATTCCCATCACATTTACTTATCGTTAACTTGCAAATACAGATTGTAAATATTATGTTTTGTTCAATAAATAAAATATAACTAAAAAAAAAGAAGATATTTGTATGAACAATAAGAAAAAAAAAAATTTTTTTTCGAATCTTGTATAAAATAATATTAATTGATGGGAACCTTAAAATTAAATTGTTTATTAATTGTAATCAAGCATTATTACTATAGACCTCAGTTATTTGTAATTTCTTTCGAGTTTAAATGCTTAAGCAACAATATAAATAATATATCTTCTGAATACTAATGTATTAGTACTAGATATTATTGCAAACGGTTTAAAATATTGTATTATATTTCCATTCAGACTTATCGAAAATAATTCAAATCTTACTATAAAAATGATAAATAAATATTTTATAAAACTGTATGGCTTTTTTTCCATTATTCTGATACCAAAAGAGTAAGGTTGGTAGATATGTCATATTATTATAGAAAATAAAATAAACAAGTTTTCTTAAAAAAAAAAAAAAAGTACAACAGTACCACAAAAAAAAGTGTCATAAGTGTTTTTCACTATAATAGATCTTATATTATCAGTTTATTTACTCTATAAAAACCTAATGATGAAAATGCATATAATGTATCTTTATAATTCTGGTAATTCTGGTTTAAATGAGAGAAAATAAAACTAGTTTCTATTTATTTTAGCAATAATATCAGTACTGTAAACTTATATCTCCATATAATATCGTATGAAGATACTTCAACATTTTTTTTCTGTTAAATAAAAAACTTATATTGAATATCAATGAAAGCTTTAATATCATGAGTATTTCAAAAATAGTCGGCTACTGTTTCATATTTATTTGGATTTTCATGAAAATGTAATTTGGGTTGAAAATATAACCATGGTACGTGAACAAAATGTATTTCATTATAATATAGTACTATTAATAATTAATAATAATTTTATTTTTTACAATTCATTTCAATATTTTAGGATATTTTGGACTTTATTGAAAAATCTACGCATGGGGTCATATACTTCACATTCGGTTCAACCGTTAAAATCTCTTCACTACCAAAGCACATTATTAATACATTTAAAGAAGTGTTAGCTCAAGTTCCTCAGAGGGTGTTGTGGAAATACGAAGACGAAATGAAAGATTTACCAAAACACGTGATGATAAAGAAATGGTTGCCCCAGCGTGATATATTATGTATAATTTATCAATGAATCTTTTACTCTCATATTTTAAAGTATTTTAATTTTTTAGTGCATCCTAAAGTGAAGTTATTTATAAGTCATGGCGGTATATCTGGAGTATACGAAGCACTTGACGCTGGTGTTCCAGTACTCGGATTTCCTATGTTCTATGACCAGCCAAGAAATTTAGATAATTTAGTCATCGCTGAAATGGCTATAACTATGGACCTATTTACTGTGGCTAATGACACTTTGTTGAATAATATTTTAAAACTTATTAATGATAAAAAGTGGGTTCAAATGTACTCAAAGCTTATGTGATATTTACTAGTGATTTGTTTAGATACGCTAAGAATGCAAAAATTGCTTCTAATCGATTCAAAGATAGGGTGATATCACCAGAAAAATTGGTCGTTTACTGGACAGAGTATGTTATTCGTCACAGAGGAGCGCCTCACTTGAAGTATCATGGATACAATCTGACCTGGTACCAATATTTTCTGTTAGATGTGATTGCAGATGCAGTAACCACTTCTATTTTTATTTTATTTGTTATGTATAAATTTTTGAAATTTATTTTCAATTTTTTTTTTAAGTTTTTAAGTAATGAAAAGGTTAAAATTCAGTAAGTTTATGAGTATAAATTATTTTAGCTTTAAAAATTGATTATGCATTTTTATATTTGAAAAGAAATATTGTTTTTATGTATCAAAATAAAATATTATAAATTTTAGTGTCTATTATTTTTAAATTTTTTTCATCATTGATAATTTTTAATTAGGAAATATCTACAAAAATATAGTTATAAATTATGAGTGCTTATTATTATCATAATAAATATGAGGAAGATCATTTAAGAAGTACATGTTTAATTTTATCATATAATTCCAAAATCTAAAAAATAAATGATATTGAAACGATTATTTTATTTTATTGGTAAATATATTCAGTGGTATGATAAAGACTTATAAATTTTATAAGCTTCGTAACTTTGTGATTTTCATTATTGGATAGTAATGAAAAATAAATATACGTGATAATATTACTTAAAAAAGTTAGGTACTTATAGAATTTTACTCGAGTATGCACAAGTCAAAAAAAAAAATGTAGTAAGAATCACTATTTTATAGGTGGAATGACTAAAACAGTATATTTATTAAGACTATATAAAAATAGTTGGTTTCAATAGTGAATAATACTATATTTTATAGTTTTTTTTTTT